ATTACCAAGTAACAATACATTCATGGGATAGAGATCTTGGAAACTGGTAAATGGATCTAAAAACCATATGTATAAGGAGTTTCTCTTGAGAAGTTCACATTAAAGTTACATGAATACTTAAGTAGCCTCACATTTAATATGATCAATTATATGATATTAAAGCTTAAAGTAAATCTAGTCTCCATTATGAGAGATTAGAGATTCTCTTGAAACAGATAATCATGGAGCATATTGGATCTAGCTTTGGTTGCTGGATTTAAAGATTAGGATGTGTCCCAGATAGAATAATTAGGAGTGGAATTCCAAAAACCATGAGATAAGAATGAGAGTTAAAGGGACCATGGAGAAAACTGTCAACATTTATAGTATATGAACTTTAGTTATAAGTATGAAGGGACCATTTTAATTTGCATTGTTGTAAGTAGATGAACTAAAATCAATCCAAATCTATTACACGGATCTTAATAGAAAATCCTCAAGATGTAATTAGGAGTATTATTAATGAGCTAGATAATACTGATAATACAATTTTGTTACAATTTCTTTGTTATGACTTTGAGATTTTCTCCAATAATTTCCTTCTCCAAGCAGATGGAGGGAATGACATAGGATGGGGCGCTAACAAAAACTTAGAAAGTTAAGAAGGTTTGTTCCACAAGAAATAACATACTGGATATTATTATATTGTAAGTACAGTAAAGCAGGGAAACATGTGAAACTAAAATTACAACATAAACCGAGAGAAATGGAAAAGTGGAATGTATAGCACCAATAATGATAGAGTAAGTGTAATAGAGAGACAAGAGAGAGAGATCAAAGTTCAGGAAATTATGGCTAAAAAAAGACATTTCTAAGTTCAAGATCTTGAACATAGAGTGGTATCAAGTGATGAAGCAATACAGAATATGGCTATGCCCCCAGGAGCGGAACTGGAAGCCGTTAGAAATGAGGGTTAAGGGACGTCGTAACCTCTGTTCTAAAGAGTTCAAGCTCTAGAGTCAGGCACACCTAAGTTTGTATCCTGGCTATGCCACTAGAGATCTGAAAGTATTTAAACAGTTTGTTCTATAAACTTTTCTTCAGATACAAAATTTATGTTGAGAGAGATGATGATAGTACTATTCACAATATTATTCTAAATTGTTCAAGAGATAACTAATGCATGGTAAAGTCTTATCAGAATATATCATTAAACTAAGCTTTTATTATTATTGTCATTATTGCTGTTGCTATTAAAAACTGCACTCAGTGTCTAAGAAAAAAAAAAAAAAACAAGAGGTAATTACAGGAAAATATTGCTTAATTTAAATTTCAAGAGCCCGACTTAAGGTTTAAATTTCAAACTTCTTTGTCCCTGTACTTTCTGAAGTAAAGTGAACAAGTCAGGAACAAACACTTTATGACTTTCAATAAGGAAGCTTGAAGATTAAACACTGGATATATTTATTGCCAAATCAGACTTTAAAAAAAAGTAGGGTTCGGGCCTCCCAGGTGGCTCAGTGGTTGAGCGCTGGGTTGTGAAGCTGCCCGCAGCCTCTGCAGCGCTGGTTCAATCCTCAGCCACTGGCGAGGGTCCCACATGGCGCGCAGACCTCTCCTGCCACGCCCGCTGCTCCCCTCAGCAGTGTACTTCTTCGGTCTGCCTGCTCTGCTCCCCGCTCTGGCTCTGGTGAATTTTCTCACCCTCCTGTGCTTCTGACTATACCCAGTGCTTGTATAAATAAATAAATAAATCTTTAGAAAAAAAGAGAGATCTATCTAGATTAATAGACCTCTGTCTCTGTTACCAGAGATGCCATAAGGTCGTTCTATGTAATTTATAGCTTGGTCCCCTGAGGGTATTGTGGATTTCTACTAGTTTGTCCAAAATCATGGCACTATTTGTCAGCTACTTTCTGCTGGAATTTCCAAAATAATTTATGTCCAAACTATTGAAACACAATCTTTTTTGTGTAAAGAAAGTTTTTCTTAAAACAATAAGACAAATTCCAAGCCAACCTTGCCCTTTCCCTATACCAACTTCATTGGAGCATTCTAGGACCATGTAGGTTCATTTTATAATTTCTTTCCTTTGTCTGCTTCATTGCTTACATCTTCAACTTTTAGTTTGGCTGAAAAAGAGAGTCATTGGGGGAAAAAAATTAGCGTCCTTTCCAATTCTTCCAGTCTTGCCTATTGAACAATGTTATCTTCTCTTCAACAAAGACAGCAGAAGTCCTTTGGCACAACCCACCCTGGATAGGAAGGGAATGATGCCAGGAAAATAAGGGAGTTTCAAAAATGTTCTTCTGCTCTCACCCTTCCTATTTTCTGCTGCAGCCCCCTCTCTGTGTCTTTCTGTCTGTCTACCTGATTTTATGACCCTCTCAGATTCTTTCTATCTTCCTTTCCTTAAAGAAAGCTGCTTTGCACAGATGATAGACTCATTCTAATTTTTCTCCATTTCAATTTAAACAAAATCAAATCGTTTCATCTGACTGTTTAAAACATCACAGATGTTAAGGAAATGACCAACATCAACTTCTTTTCCCTCCCTAAAAATTATGTTTCACCACGTGCCAAAACCCAGCAGAGGGCATCCTTCCATTTCAGATGTTTAAATACTGTAGGGAAAGCGCTACCATTTAAGCAATGCATCCCATTTAAACTGCATACTGGACTATAAATCAAAGACTATTGTAGAAGGAGGGCAATTTGCTATTTAAGTTGTTCTGGAGTGTTTACCTCTATTTTGAATTATAGAGAGCTAGAAGTATTGCAATTCTCTTTTTGAGGAAAAAAATTTAATTTCCAGCCTCTTTCCAGGTTTAGGGATTAGCTTTAAATTTCAAGAAACAAAACAGTAACACCTGTATGATCCTTTCTTATCTAGGTGGCTATGTATGAATAAAGTGATCACAGATTAAAAACAACGAAGAAAGAAATCTGTGTCCTACATCCTTGGTCTCATGCACACTCCCTCCATTACCTGTTAGAGTGTCTCAGAACTGGGAAGATAACCAGCATGGTCAGGAGCAGTGTATCAGGTGGGGCCATGAGCAGGGTGGAGGGACATGACACCTGTATACACAGGTGCAATTTCATAAAAATTAAAATTTCATAATCTTAAATATCCATAATTAAAAATTCCATAATCATAAATATCTTATATTATCAGAAGAATTTTTCCTGATTAAAAGGCAAATGCCCACCTTCATCAGTGATTTTCTCCCTAATGTAAATGAGTTTATCAGATTCTTTCCTTATGGGAAATGCCTTAGGGAAAGAAGGAAAGAATTTGCAAGTAGAGCATAATTCATACATCCATGTTGAGCGCTTTGTAACAATCTTTGTTCTTACTACCAAGTATATATCAGCAAACAATCAAAGGTCCCTTTCCTGGAGGTGATGTGTTACAGGGCAAGTGTTTGGAGTGTTGACAGAACAACCTTTGAATCTGGCTGGCTCTGCCACCTAGCCAACTATGTGACTTGAAGCAAAGAAATTAATATTCTCTCCTGCAAAACAAGAATAACTGATTGTTAATATTTACTGAAAACTTACTTTGTTCTCAGCACAGTAACTGAGCACATGCACATGGATATATCACATACAAAATAAAATCCTCACAATTAGTCTATGAGATAAGTTCCATTATCTGACTCATTTTACAAATGAGAAAACCAGTGCACAAAAAGATTTATAAATTGCACAGTATTACATGGAAGTATCAGAGGAAGAACTTGAAACAAGGCTGAGTCCAGTACTGAGTAGCCAGTAAAGGAAGGGTTGGTTTCTAAGTGTATCCTGAGGATTAAATGAGGTGACACAAGTAAAGCTGAGAGTGCAATATAATATTGTTGATGTTGTTATTATTGTTAAACATTATTATTACTGCCATTATTGTAACTTACTGGGACTTAAAGTTATATATTATAATAAAACAAAAGAGGCTTACTACTTCAGAGGAAAGTTCTTCTGCTTCAGAATGCAGTCTGTGCCCAACTCAAGTTTAAAGAAAGACTTAATACCACAGCGATTGAATCTGGCCTCTCAGCATTTGTCTTCCCATAATATGACAAGCTACCTCCAACAGCTATGCTTCTGGACAAGATCTCCCAACACAGTTTCCTTGCAGCAAGAGGAACTCTTCCTGCCCTGGATTTTTCTGACCTCCCCAAAGCTGAAGTTTAAAGACCAGCTGTGAAATAATGCCAAGATTCAAGTTTCCATTTGCCATCTGAAAGCTGCTCTTTGTTCTCTGATATGTAGCCAGCCCCTCCTCTGACCCCCAGGGTCTTACTCTCAGCTCTCTCCTTCCAAGTTCCAAAGCATGATTTCCAAGAGCCCTGCCCTTGGGTTCCTTACAGATCGAGTATGTTCACAGATCCACAGAGATTAATTGTGCTAATAGCATTATTCAATGAGAAATGAAGCAGGCATGTTTCTTGATGCCCTGGGAGTCTCTCTGCTGACTGTAAGCCTGAATTTGTGTCCCACGCTGCTGTATTATCAAAAAATCAAGAATAATTTTAAACCACAAACAGATAAAATTCTGGCTCCATGCCCCATTTCCTATTTATTTCATTTCAGGACTCTCATGTTAGGCTCATTAGGTAGGAAGCTGAGTGTTTAATAATGGGGTGTAGGAGAATTTACAAATGTAGATCTACAAATACTCCATTTTTCTTGACTACATTAAAAAATCATTTTATTCTATATGACAAACTTCACAATGCAAAAGCCAGTATGTCCTGAATAAACTCCACCCACTGAATATCTTTAAATTGCATCCTATTCACAAAGGCAACTTCATGCTGATTTTCTCTCAGTGTACTTCTGCGAGATGCATGCTGTTGCAAGGCATCTTTTGGAATAGTAATTAGGGCCTCTATCCCTTTGGTTTGAACTCAAAAAATCCTACATGTCCTGGTAATGTAATAAGTTACTTTGACATAGGTTTAGTGATTTCTATCAACACTGGTTGGGGTCCAAAAAAATTTTCTGAGCAGGGTACTTACCCCAAGATAATGGCCGTCAATGAACACCACAGGGAGAGAAGGAGTTTCAGAAACTCGTCGGCATCGTTCATCTAATTCTTTTCCATAATCACCATTCAGAGCTATGTTTTTCTCTTCAAATTTTACTCGATGGTTTTGGAAGATCTTTCTAACCAGTTCACATCTTTCAAACGTTGTCCGAACCACACGAAGGCAAGTGGTATAAATCACTACTCGGTCAAATTCTAGTTCAGTAGATGGTTGCTGCAGAGAAAACATTGCTATGTAATGTGTTTGTATTACCTCCTTAAATATATATATTATTACTTTAAGACACTTAGCAAGTATCCAATATATTAAAAGCATGCAATAAATGGTGAATAAGCACCATATTTGTCAATTCTAAGACAAGTCTTTCTCCCGTTAGAACATCTGTAATGAAGATAAAGATTAACAACCCCGTAGAATTTATATGACCTAGTTTGATTGACATTATTTTTTCTGTTGTTGGTAGCAAATCAAATAATGCAAGATCTTAAAATTGTGATGTCTCATTCCATGCCTTATGAAAAAGAATCAGTAGTTGAATTACTTTGCTTAAATTTGTTGACTTTGCTCAATTACTGTATCTGACAAAGGAAAAGATGCAACAGAATAGTCAAGGTTAGCATTTAATTATTTCAAAATTCTCCTTATCAATAAACCAAATTTTATAGTCTTTGAGGATATGAAAGCAATTTGTGTAAGCATGAAGCACAATATTTTTGGGGAGACAGTGTGTCCTGAATAAACTCCACCTACTATGTTTTATGAACTCCACGCCGCCTCCATGCCAAAGAAATCCCAGGCACCTAGAACTACAATTCCCATCATGCCATAGATACGTCATAATTCTAGATTTCATGAAAGGGGAATGCTGGGAACAAATGGTGGAGTTAAGCAGCAAAGCTTGACTGAAAAGGAAGGACATATGGCCTGGAAGTAACTTGGTATTTTCTGCCTTCCGGGTGTACCTGGGGTCCCACAACAGGCAGCATAACCAGAAGGATGTATTGACCAATTAATCTCTCTCTTTATCTCTCTCACACTCTGTGCTTCCTCTCTTTTCATTTCCCTTGTAAATAAGCCTTTGATTAACCTTTCTGTGTGTACTTGACCTTGGGTCTTGTTCTGCGTTTTTAAGCATGAGGGTGAGGACTCACATCCAGGCCATTGCATTTCCTTTTAGGGTTGCCCTGTAATAGTACCAAACTAAGTTAAACAGAGCAAAAACTTACATTCCACAATCATGGAATTTTTAAGATTAAAAACACAAAAATAAGTCAGTGGTAAAAATTAGGCAGTGACAAGAAAGGGGAATTGTTACTATGTTAGATAAGAAGAGTGTTGGTTCTAAGAGGACCATCCAAGGCCCAATAACCTACAACCCTTATTCTTGTTTATAATTAAGGGCTAGCAAAGACTCAAGCTCACTATAATGTTTCAGTTCTTAGAAAATCAGGGAAGTTCTCTTTTTTCTGATTATATTTGCGTAAATATGCATTGTCCCTCTGGTTACATGCAAAACTGGGAAAGTTTAAGATTGGACCGTCCTACTGCCACATTAATCAACTCACTCTCTGCTCATACAACCAATTTGGTGTCACTTTTCTGTTGTCTCTAAGAGTCTTGCATTTTTTAAATAATGATGAGATGGATCCCAAACAAGTGGCTATTTGGCTGTTGTCAAAGAGTAATGAAATATCCCTTTACCTGTTGCTGAGCTTTTGCTAGAATCATAGGCTCTCAAAGAGTTTTGGATATTACAGTAAAATGGACACGTTTTAAAAATCCTCAAAGCCCATGTCAAGTCCATACCAATTAAATCAGAATCACCAGAACTGGGGTGTTCTGGTGTGTAACCATGTTCGGGGATTCTAGTGTGTAACTATGTTCTAGGGCTACACACTGTTTGGAAATGCAAAGTCATGACCTCATCCATCTACACCGAATCAGAATCTGTGTTATTTAACAGATAATCTGGGAAATCTGGAAGCATGTTACATTTTGAGGAGACATGATGAGATCAATAGGCAGCTTGATTTGACAGAAAACTGAGCTTACATCTTTTTAAAATAACTGTTAGGCATACACTCAGTCATTAGAATAATTTCTTTGCCAAACATGGTACACTAGGTATATATGGTGAAAAATAATATAATTCCTTAACAACATAGAGTTCATAATTTAACATAATAAAATAAACCAAAAAGTTAACATAAACAAATACAATTAGAAATTGTTAAGTGTTACAAAGGAAATGTAAAAGATATTAGGAGAGGCCATTATAGGACAGTCTTTGCCTATTATTGAGTTTGAGAAAGTGTTTCTGACATTTGAACTCAGATTGGATAGATATAGAAGGAGTTAGAAAAATAAAAATTAACTGGGTAGAAAGCGTGAATGTGAAAGGCAAATCAAACAATCTTGAGTTCGAAGGGAGAAAGCATGTTTAAGACTGAAAGAAGGGCCTCCCCTGGTAGCGCAGGCAGTTGAGCGCCATGCTATGAGGCTGTCCGCAGCCTCTGCAGCGCCGGTTCGATCCCAGCCCGCCAGTGAGGAGCGGCAGGCCTCTCCTGTCACGCCGTTGCTCCCCTCAGCAGTGTATTTCGTCAGTCTGCCTGTTCTGTTCCCCGCTCTGTCTCTGGTGAATCCTCTCACCTTCCCGCACATCTGGCCTGTACCCCGGTTCTTGTATAAAATAAATAAAATAAATCTTAAAAAAAGAAAGAGTGTTTAAAAAAAAAGACTCTGAAAGAAGATCTTTCTTGAAACACATTAAAGGGAGGAATTATAATAATACCAAATGATTCTGGACCAGTATATAAGATCACTTTTACATTGCACTTTATAGTCACTTCATGGATATAGGACCCTTTATCTAAAAGAAATGGAAAATACCTGAATGTTTTCAAGTAAGATAAGAGGAGTTTACATTTTTAAAAGATCAGTGAAGAGTCCAATGCAGATAGTTGCACAGAATGTGCACTGCTGCACAAACCTAGGAAGTGGCACTAGCCATAGAGTCCGGATGAATGATGTGCTCTGGGTTTGTGTCATCTACTACTTGAACAGTCATACTGTGTCATTCGCAACTTCCTTGCCTGAGATTTGAAATTGAATACAAGATAAACTTGGGGTAGGAAATATGGTAACCTGTTAGAATAGGCTATTTTTTAAAAGTTTTATTGTACTATTGTAAGGCATGATTTGGAAGTAGATCTTCCTAGAGGTTGAGTTATTTTTCAAAATCTTTTCCAGTTTTATAATGTGAATTTTAACTATCATCTATGGCCAAAAAAAAAAAAAATCCTCTTCTACATGTGCTTCAATTTGTTTCCTTCAACGGATTTGTCAAGCATCTGGCCAGAAATCTAAAAATAGCCGCTCAATGGTTAGCTGTCACTCTTCTCCCTTCCTGAGGGTTGCCATGGGAATAGTGTAATGAAGGATGGAAGTATCTAAGAGAGTGCTGAGAAGCCACTAGGATTTGCAGCCAGCTTGTTCTGAGAGAAGTGACCTAAATGTTAAAAACAGGCTCTTTCTTCCTTTCCATTGATTAAAAAGATGAATCTTAGGGATGCCCAGAAGTCTCACAACTACCTGCAGCAAATATAGATGTGTTAGCAAGGGATAGAAATTTCTGTGAATAAGACTAACGGTTACTAATGCAGTAACTATCAATACATACTCAGACTGCACTAGCCATCATGAAATAGTAAGTACTTTAGTCACCTAGTCTTTGGGGACAATTCTGAAATCCACATACTCACTGAAATTGCCTTTGGAATTCAGGTCAAGAATTAGTTCCCATCCCACCTCAACCCCATTCCCTACAGACAATCAGCTCAGAGCAAATCCAGCAACTCGGGCTGGAGCAAATCCAGCGGGTTATTGCCATTTGTCTGGCACTGGTTTAAAAAGACCTCCTGAAATAGGCCTCCTTGTCTTTTCCTAGTATGTCCCCAAATTATCAAGAAACTAGGGGCCACTAGAGGAATTCTGATCTCAAACAAATTAAAACAGAAAAAGCAATAATTTTGGATGTCAATGGCAGACATAATGCCAATAATTTCACATTCATTTAATATACATAATAATTTACATGGTGTTACTGTCTTTATTTACAGATCTAGAAATCCAGGTTAGGGAGCACAATGTCCTAGACAAGAATAACAGAGTTACAATTCAATAAAGTTAGAAAATTGGAAACCAGATACACCCCTTCTGTAAGCCCTGTGCTCTCACTAAGCTCCTGAACCACTGTTGTTCCTCCCCAGCTTATTATCCACTACCTAACTCACAGCCCATGAGATAATATCTGTGATGTAGAGATTTGCTTCTTTGCTAAATTATTCTCCAATGTTTAAAAATAATGATAAACATCATTAGAGGGGCATTTTTAATTTTCTTTTTCAGTCTGAAAAGGCTCCTTTGAGATGGCAGAGTGTAGACATCTTTTCTTCCCTAGCTAAAAAGAAGGTGAAGTGATCAAGGCAGAGCTATCCAGCATGTCAGAAGAAAAACTGAGGATAGATGCAGATTTCCTGATCAATAGACAATGGGTCAGCCTGGGTGCCAGGAACAATAATTATAAATAGCAGACAGGTTTGCATGTGTGACTAGGGCGAAGCATACTTACTAGATGTCATAAAAATCCTTCCTTCCTTTGTGAGTTCAGATGCCCCCCTGCTGGCATGAAAGAAATCCATAAGCACAATCTTTGCATGCGAGGATTTCCACAGAGAGTGTTTTTTGAGTTCGTCATGCTCCAAGATAACGATCAATGAATGAATTTGTTCTCTTCCTTAGGAATTATCTATTTGTCCAAATTAATTACTGAATTGGCCTAGACATGAACTGAAGAGTAAATGAGCTTAATAAATCATCCATACCAAAATAAAATGTTTTTTCCAGAAATTTAGACTGAAACAATGTTGACTTTGACAGCACATCTGAGTTAACAGAAATGAAGGATGAATCCCTTGGAGACCAGAGAAAGGAATCAGTTGTGCTGTCAGTACAGCATTAACAAAGTACATGGATATTTCATCTGAAAGTCTTGTCTTCTCTCCAAAAAGCAGAATATCTGGTAACACTACTTTGTTGCATTCTTGCACAAAACAGTAAGTGGAGCTTGGCAATCTCTACCCCCATGGTACACATCTCCAATGCCACATTTAATACCATTTCTTTTTTTTTAAGATTTATTTATTTATGCATAC